CAAACGTTGTGTATATGTTTTTTTTTTTTTTATATATATATATTTTCTTTTCTTTTTGTCTGTGAAAGTGGCAGACACATAGAAAATTCTATACAATAATATGATGATTTAATACTCAAAAAATTATGAATATTATTAATATTAAAAATAGCAATACTGCTTATTACTTGATTGATTAATATTACATTGCAAACACTCACCAGCCACTTCATTTGGTACACCTTACTAGTATTGAGTTGGACTCCCTTTTTGCCTTCTGAACTACCTTAATCCTTCTAAGCATAGATTCAACAAGATACTAGAAATATTCCTCAGAGATTGTGGTCAATATTGACATGATAGCATCACATAGTTGCTGCAGATTTGTCGGCTACACATACATGATGCAAATCTCCCGTTCAAACACATCCCAAAGTCGCTCTATTGGATCTGGTGACTGTGGAAGCTGTTTGAGTAGTGAACTCATTGTCATGTTCAAGAACCAGCTTTACAGGTGTAACTAATGAAGTGACTGGTAAGTATATATTATTATTTTTCTAAATTATTTTAATGAATGTTAATGATTCTAAATGAATGGAAAGTGAAAAAGTATAGCAGAGTAAAAAAAAAAAAAAAAAAAAAAAAAAACAGCTAAAAAGCACTTGTGTACAGTTTTGATGTTTATTTTTTCTTTCTTTCAGTACACTATCAGGACCACTATACATGCATTGTGTCAAGCTTAACATTTGCTCATTTATCTAAACTGTTTGACAGAAAATAGGAAATGTTTGTCATAATGTTGCTTATCATGCATTGAAATACCTGGCCTTCTTATTTTTTTTTTTCCCCTCTGCTGCTACAAATTATTGGTATATAAAGTAATGTTTGCTTTGAAAAAGAGTTTTGTATATATATATATATATATATATATATATATATATATATATATATATATATATATATATATATTAGGGATGTAACGGTATCAGAATTTCACGGTACGGTAATACCTCGGTATGAATGTCACGGTACGGTATTTATTGAATCATTTACAGGAAAAAACAAAACTTATGAAAATACTCCAAAAAAGTGCCAAAAGTGTCAATGACATACAAATTAGCCATCTATCTGTAAGCTTTGAAACAGGAACTTCAATTTTAATAACAAAAAATTATTAAACCATGTAAAAAAATAAAGTTTCAATTTAGTATTGTTGAAAACTCATCACATTCAACATTTAATCACACTCAGCCCATCTACCCAGATGAGAGCTCTGCTAGTCGGACTTCTCATCAAGCATCTCCCGCTGGATCTAATCTCACTATATTTATTAAACGGGATATTTCATTTATCTTGTTGTCTTTATCTAACGACATATTCCCTGACTTTGGTCATTGGAATCTATTACTTGTTCTCAGGTAACGTGTTTTGGCTGAGCGCAAAGATAAGTTAATGATTAATGTAACCACGTACATTCTGTATATTGACTGATCGCCTTTATTTCCTATAATATAAAAACTTATTGTATGTTATACTTTTAAAATGGCCATTATCGATTCTTAAAACTGATACTCAGCAAAAGAGAGGCTGTGTTTCGTATTTTCACTGAAATTGAAAGGAGGCAGTTGTTATCGGCTCCGTTTTGTTATAAATATCCACACAGTGAAGATGACGCTCATATATGCAGCACGACGCCTCAACATGTCTGCTGTCTAAGTTGCTAATATTAAAATGAAAATAGGCAGTTCCTTAAATCATGTTTACATTTTATTGTTGAGAAAGTGAAACAACGAAGCCATGGTGATGTGAATGAAGTTATAAAGTACACTGTTCCCTTTGAAGATTTACCCGTGTCCTTGGTATAATCTGCTTTTCCATATCAAACTGAGAAGAAGAGACTGCAGCCTTGATCAAACTTGCGAAGTCTGAACTTACACGGAGATAATGCAGGACTGAACTGTGCGTGTTAAGCAGGTCGCACACCAGAAGCGACGCTCGGCGGCGCGCCGCGCAGCGCCACGTATTTTAGAATTCTAATCATAGGTTTCTATCAGGATACACACACCGGCGCCGCAAGTCGGCGGCTGTCGGCGGCGCCCGGCGACGGCTCAGGACGCAGTTCATTTTTCAGCCGCGCCACAGAGCGCCATCTGATTAGTTTCATGTTAAATATCATTCGAATGTGCGCGTCTGGTGTGCGATACTTTAATCTGTCATGTACGCGCCGTGTCGCGGCGCCGAGCGGCGCTTCTGGTGTGCGACCTGCTTTAGAGTTTTCCAGCTCTTTTCATCCCCGCTTCTAGCAGCACACTCCATTTCCGCATTACTGGATCTGTAGCAACAACAGACCGCAAGGGATGATGGTCAAGCATGGGCTGATGGCAATTGTAGTTTTCGTTACCTCCCGTTCGCTTCATTCGCCTGAGCAAATTTTCTCAGAAGACCTATAGTTTTACCGAGTCATGCGACTTCGGTAATATCGAAAAAAATTAATATTGCGGTATGACGGTATTTACAATACCGTTACATCCCTAATATATATATATATATATATATATATATATATATATATAAAACGTTTTCTGAATTCTAACAGACTTTGATTAAGCCTGTTGTATCCACGGTTGGTGCTTTGCTTTGTAATATAAATGGAAAACCACAGTTCACAAATAGTTGACCTTTTGTTGAACAACATTATGCTTGACTTTCAGAGTTTACCTTGATTTTGTGGTTCACATACTTCACAGAACAATTTAATCTAATTGCATGTATAAATTCTAACACCATATTTCAGATGTAATACTCTAATCAAGGCTGTCTTCTTTAGAATCTCGAATCACTGTAGTAGTATGCTATACAAACTTCATAATTGATTTTGTGGGTCAGCAGAGAGAAAGAAAAAACAATCATTTTAAAATTATTTGAAAAAAAGCCTTTTTACAGAGTATTGTATTGTAGTAAACTTTCTGCGATGTTACTTAGGTCAATTTAAATACTCATTCAGGTATGACAAAATCCAGAAGTCAAACTTCTACAGAGACTGGATTTGTTTTGCAATGCTTTCATCCCAAGTGCAAACCAACCCGATCTCATAACTTTGCGTACAAATAACACGACTTTCCACCTTCCCTTTGCGTGCAATGCATACGCCAAAATCCGTTTTTGCGTGCATATGATACGCCAGTCCTTCCCATTCATTTCTTTGGAGAACAGATGCGTCCATATGCCACGCACCAACTTTAACGGCGATGACGTCATCAACGAGACTCGGTTCAACGCCAGTTCACCTGATGAGCATCGACATTGAATCAAGTAAGTAAGGGCTTTTCCCCTCTTTTTGTGATGAGATCACGGCGTTAACTGCATTTTAATAAATTTTGTGTTTCTTCATCACGTTACATGAGTCGTGTGTTAGAAATTGTGCGTTCAAAGTTGTTATTCAAGTGTAACATCTGGGCGTTCAGTTAGCACAGCTGGTAACTTAGCCCAGCTATAACATTACTGCTGCCATTACTGGAGTAATTATTAATTAATTAATCAGTTTTTATCATGTTGTGACATGATTGGACGTTTTTAAACATCGGGGATGACGGCACTGCAGATCTACAGATTAAATTATAGTAGTGTGCATGCATTTTCAAAGTATCCTTAATACGACAAGTTCTTTGCTGATTTCGTTATGCTATATATATATATTTTTTTATGGATAAATAACCTTAACGTTGGTTATTCTAAATTGTAATGAATCGGTCGAGGAAAGTCGCTATTAGCATTAAATACATTCTTTAACGAAATTTAAAGATTCGAGTCAGTAAAAAGCGAGTTTGTGCACATGCAGGCATCACTAGTTGCTTGCAGATCCATCCTATCATATTATGCTCCTTTTTCGGAATATTAGATTTTTTTTTTTTTATTTCATCACAGATTAGACGCATATGATTTTACCTAAAGCTAAATAAAGCACAGTTAAGACTAGTCTGTTTAAAAAAGAATAAATAAATAAAATAAACCGTTGAAGTCATAACATATTTAAACACATTTCTAAACATAATAGTTTTAATATTTTACTAATATTAATATTTAACTTATGTGTGATGACTGATTTTCTTATATT